AGCCCAGTGAGATCAGGGTAAAACCACAGTACAGAGCAGGAAAGCCCAGTGAGATCAGAGTAAAACCACAGTACAGAGCAGGAAAGCCCAGTGAGATCAGGGTAAAAACACAGTACAGAGCAGGAAAGCCCAGTGAGATCAGGGTAAAACCACAGTACAGAGCAGGAAAGCCCAGTGAGATCAGGGTAAAAACACAGTACAGAGCAGGAAAGCCCAGTGAGATCAGGGTAAAAACACAGTACAGAGCAGGAAAGCCCAGTGAGATCAGGGTAAAATCACGAACACCAGGTGAGAACCCATGTGAACATGGGGAGAACATGCAAACTCCTTAAAGAGGGTCCCCGAGCCCTGAATGGCACCATGCTGTCCTGACTCAGAGATCCTCTGCGATAAACACCCCAGGCTCACTGCACTGGACAGTCTTTAAAAACAGAGGAGGTGACTCAGGGTGGTCTGCCAGACTAACTGGCCTGGGGCTCCCGGGACTGTGGCATGAGACCCCTGTTCTAGGCCCCAGGATCGATGACGGCCGTCCAACCAGGAACGTGAGGAGATCCAGTCCCCGGAATACAGGCACGCCGCCAGTTTGACTCCGGTTCTGCCTACTGGGAAGCGTGCTGCTTTCCAACAACAGCGCCAGCTCTGTCTTCAGCTCCAGAGCCGCCTGGTGTTCTCCCCTGCACAGGGGACAGGAAGCGCCCCCTCGCAGCTCTGATAAAACACCCTTCAACTGGGAGTCGTCCTCCCCAAGAGTCCAGCTCCTTCCAGATCCGCTGGCTCGTCCTTGACCCGGTTCACGTCCAGCTGCCAGGGGAAGAGCCGGCTACAGCGCCCCCTGCAGGAGCTCTCGGGTGAGGCGGGCGAGACCGTCTTCTTGGGCCCGGAGCAGGCGCGGCGGGTCAGCGAGTCCCCCTGGCCTCTAACGAAGCTGCGGCCCTTCAGCAGTAACGAGCCGGCAGACTGCAGGGCGTCACTCGCGGGAGTCAGGCCCCTGTCGAACCCGGCTCCGGCCCCGGTCTCGTTCTGCTCGGCCGTGGATGAAAGCTCCTGATGTTGGATTTTACAGCCGGCTGGCCTGGTATTCCGCTGCAGGGAGCCATCTGGCCAGAGCCGGATCCAGAACCTCTTCCTGCCGTTTTCCCCGGAGCTCCGTCCCTGGGGCCCTGAACTCCTTCATTGGGACAACCCATATTGCACAGACATGGAAACAAAACACTAACACATGTGCTGCCTTGACAACAGTATGTTGAACCACGGATGTTATACAGGAGACCCCCTCACTGCTCCTGCAGAGCTACTGTCTCTCTGGCCTCTTCCAGCCTGG